GGGGGGGGGGGGTCAAGACAATGTTTCTCTGTGCAGCCTTGGCTGTCCTGGAACTCACTCTGTAGACCAGGCTGGCCTCAAACTCAGAGATCTGCCTGCCTCTGCCTCCTGAGTGCTGGGATTAAAGGTGTGCACCACCACAACCGGGTTTAGCACTTGACTCTTAAGCCCCTCATCCAAGAAGCTCTCTCATGCCCTCACCATGGCAAGTTTTATTTTTCTAACAGTTATTTGGGGCACCAGCGTGTGTGACACTGCATACAGGTAGGAGTCCAAGGACAATTTAAAAGGGGCCAGTTCTCTCCTTCTACCATGTGGATTAAAGTCAGAGTCATCGATCTGGCTACACAGCAAACTTGCCGAACCCATACTTGCCGAACCATCTTGGAGGCCCCAGCCAAGGCATTTTCACAAAGCCTTCTTGCAAAGCGTTTCCTTTCTGCAGCCTGTGTTGTCTGGGGACTAAGTGTTCAGGGCCTTTCTGTCCAGCCTTATCCCTGCAGCATCACATCCTAACTGGCTGGGATCCAGCTGCTGTTAATGGGGTTGCCTCAGCTCCAGTGGTGCTGGCTAGTGGCTCGTGACAGCTGGAGTGATTTTCCATTCCCAGGAGTCCCACTTTGGGATCATCTGCTGGCTTGGGATGTTGTCCCAAAGAAAAGTGTCCTCAACAGGGATGCAGCTGCAGCTGTAGCCCTCTGCAGGGGAGCCCTGAGGTTACCTAGGTCCCGCCACTTGGCCGGGCCACTTCCCTCTGCTACATATCCCCTTCATTTTCCCACCCTGCTTTGTTTGCTTTGGGACACAGCCCAGAAGAGAACAAACAGCAGCTGGGTCATGGCCTGAGCCTCTCCCACTCTAGACCCCTTTTACAGTGGCCTGAGCTGGGCTGCCAGGCTGGGAGTAGGGTTTTTCCTTTGACTTCTCCTGTCCTGAGCATTGGCCACTCGTGGCTCCTGTTCTGCAGATGGAGGCATCTCACCACCCAGGAGCATCTCACCACCATAGAGCAAGGTGCTGGGGGACAGTGGAGGGGTTCCCTCCTGGTATTGGCAGTTTCTAGAAGTCTGGCTGGCAGCCTGTACCGTACAGAGTGTGTTTCTGTCCGTGGGACTGCTGACTACACCCCAGCTGCATCTAGATGCAGTGAGGAGTGAAGGTTAGCGCTAGTGACCCCTCTAAGCCCTCACCCGGAGGTGGGGACCGTTCTGCCTGGACTGACCATTTCTCCTGGTTGAAGGAAAGAGGCTGGGAGACAGCAGCTGTGTTCAGGCCACACATAGTCTGAGAAAAGGTGCCACAAGATTAAGGGGTGTGACTTGCCAGAAGGCTCACAGCCAGCTAGGGGTCGGTTCTGATGGAGATGGATCTGCAAAGATGCCCACCAGCCTCTGGCCCAGAGAGCCTCTAGGGGAGCCCAGCATTGCCTGCCCCCCATGCAGTGGCTCCATGCTTAGTTTCTGCACCAAGGTCTAACATAGTCTCTCAGCAGCCTGTGCCTGAGCATATTTCTAGGTGCCTTACTGTCATGTAGCAGCCCAGCCTAGCTGTGCCTGTTGCTGACTGTCCCCTACAGGTGCTGGCCAGGCTGGAGGCTGCTGGCCCTCTGGTAGGGTTATTTTTAAAGTCAGGACTGGCCATCATTCGGCAGGACAGCTTGGATGGAGGGTGCCTGGTGCCAGCACCCCAGCTGGCTGTACAGAAGAGCAGGCGTGAAGGGCGGGGCTCTTCCCCAGTCTGGAGCCTGTGGGGGAAGGGCCCTTTGCATACCCTGTATCTTCCCTCTTCCTGTCATTGAGCTGCCCCCTACTCCACCCTGCGGATCTCCGAGCTAGCTTCTTCCTCCCTGAAGCCAACAACGCAGTAGAGCTCCACCGCTAGACAAAGGTTCCCCTTTCCACTGGGAAACACGCCCTGCCCCTGTCTCTTGTCCCCACCCATCTCTGGCCCACTGCCTGGGCAGGGCCCCCACCACTGTCTCCCTCACTTCCACCCCGGTTCTGTCCAGGGCCATTGCAGACGGTCTGACCTGTGGATCCAGGGTGGATAGTACTGAGACCAAACTGGGTGCGGCTTCGCCACCCCGGGAATGGCCAAACCTGTACTTTCCGCTTGTTATGGAAGGACTCTTGAGGAGTCGGTAGGGAGAAAGGTGAAGTTGACCGACGTCCTGTGTGATCCTGGACTACAGCCTTCCTGTTGCGAGAACAGCTGTCTCTCAGAGGAGTTCTCCTGTTCCTTCTCTTGTCTTCCCTTCACTGACATGACAACCCTACTGCCTTAGATTCTGAGACACCAGTGCTTTTTCTGAGATCACGGGGCCAGCCTTTCTGTGGGTGAAAGGTCCTCAGCATGTGTTGTGGAGCTGAGACCAGACCCTAATATGCCCAGTGCATAGGTGGGAGGTCCTCCACCTCCGAGCACCCTCATTCTTATCCTCCCCCTCCTCCCCTTGGGCAGAGGACTCAGCTCCTCCAGAATCTAAGAAGTGGACTAAATCCCCGTCCGAAAGTAAGGCAGACCCAGCATTGAGCAGAGTACCACAGTGTGGAGCCTCAGTTTCCTCACCTAGAAATCAGGAATCAGCAAAGGCCTGCCAGCAGGGTTGAAATGCACTGGCTACTAGAGAACTGCATGCTTGCCTTCTGATATCCTTTGACCTATGCCTGGCCCTGGGCAGCTATCCAGCCCTTGGCTTCCCTTGGCTCCAGGCCTGGCCAGCTGGATCCGAGGACCAGCCTGTGAGCAAACTCCTCTCGGGAGGCTAGCCTTGACTGCAATGTTCCCTTCTAACCCGAGGCTGAGTGTTGTGGTTTGGGATGAGCCTTCTCCTGTCTCTCTGGGTCCCGGGGTTAGATTGGCTATCTCTGTGGAAGACAACTTTGTGGTCTGACTGGGGAGCTCATGCCTACAGGGGCTATTATCCTTCAGCTCTTCCGAACCCTCTTGACTTCGCCTCCATGGGGCACCGGAGGGTCATGGCCAACAGGTTTCACCATCTTAAGAGATTGGGGTTTTTTGTTTTTGTTTTCCCCTCTCCCAAGGGTGACTTCTGGGACCCACTCATTCCTCCCAAGCTCCTCAGTTCTCTCTTGGGACCCTCCCTTGGGGCAGAGAACAGGATGGGGGAAGGGTTTTCCTGAGCTGCCCTCCTCCAAGCTCCCGATTTCCTACCATTGGCTTTTCGAAGCTGCTGGAGCTGGGAGGAGGGGAGCCTGAGAAGGTGGAGGTATTCTAAAATAGCTACTCCTGGCAAGTGTCTGGGAGCAGCTGTGCACATCTGGTGGCACAGTGCCGGCTGTCCGTGCCTGGGCCTACTGCTGTTTATCAACTCCAAACGAAACTCTGAGTCACCGAGGGCGGCAGGAATAGAGGAAGGCAGCAGCTGGGAGCTGGTGCTGCTCTCCTGGTTTCGGACTGCTTGTGGCAGGGGAGGGAGGGGCTGTGTGCCTCATGAAAGGCAGGGACAACAGTTACCAAGCTCTCCTTTTTTCTTTGAACCGGTGTCTCCTTCTGTAGCTGGCCTCCCACTGGCGATCCCTCTATTCCAGTCTCCCAGGTACTGGCATGACAGGCGTGTTCTGCCATGCCCCTCTGTCGTCATGCTCTGAGGAGGGGCCCCTGATTCTCTTTGTCCCTAGGGTGGCGCCTCTCGGTGCACCAGATGTCCCACCCTCATTTTTGTAGGTTCCCCCATCATGGTGGGGCACCCTGTTGGAGAGATGCCGGGCACCACCCCATTTTATGAGTGGACCAGCCTGGGCTCTGTTCATTCTCTGAGGCCATAATGGAGTGCAGAATGTGGAGCCGTCGCTGTTAAGCCTGCTGGGCCTCACTCTGGTTCCATTGCTAGCTGGCTTCTACATCTATGGATTGGGGAACAAAGCTTTGAAACCCTTGTGTGAGAATGATGGTGTTGGTGAGGGGTCTGGAAACATGTGTGAGAGATGTGGGCACATAGTAGGCCCTCAGATTTTCCACTGTGTCTCTCCCTGGGTCTGGGTGGTGGTGGGTGTGCTGGGGTCAGTGCCCACAGATGTGGGACCAATCAGACTGAATGGGAAGCTCACATCAAGTGGGTACAGATGCTCATGAGCCTTCAAATGACCCCAAGTCCCCAGAGCAGGGTGAGATTCCTCAACCCCAGTGACCACCCCAGAGGCCTGCCCACCCCACTCTGCTACCGTGGGTTCCAGGAAGTGGAAGCTGAACACCATCCTAGGGGTGGGACAGTTAAGTTAGGACTGCAGTATCTTAGTCCCCAGCACTGAGCACCTGCTAAGTGCCATCCATAGTGGGTCCTTCCCAAGCACCATCCTCAAGACAAACAATTTGAGAGTGATGGAACCTGTATTTGAACCCCTGGCATCCAGCTGAGAGGTGGATTGGCTAGGAGTAAGTAGCCAAGATTTGAAGTAGTCTGTAGAGCACAGATGCTGGGAACTGGAAGAGAGGAGGGCCTGGTTAGGCTTGACCTTCTGGAAAGAGAGATTCGGGAGCTCCGAGGGAGCCAGGTGTGCCGGAGAAACCAGTCGGACAGCTTCCCAGCCCCACCCAGTCTCTCGTCCAATGGCTGGTTGGGTGCTGCAGCCTCTGCAGTCTTCCCCCGGGAGCTGCAACGTCTGCAGGGTCTCTGCCGCTGCCTGAAGCCCTTAGTTCCTTTGCCACTTGAAATACTGGGTTGGGACAGGCCGGTGAGTGTGAGAGAGTGGGGCTGGCCTGGAAACATCTGGCTGTTTTCTGTCTCCACACCAGAGCTGGGGATGCAAGCTCAGGGCGTAGCCACAAAGGCCCCTCTGCAGCTCTACTGTGCCTGCGTGCCCTTCTACTTCACCCCTGCACCTTGCTGTCTGCTACCTTCTGAGGCCCTTGAGGCTATGGTGGGGTGTCAGGGGACGGGCAGATTATCAGGGAAAAGGGCTGCAGGAGAGGTGAAACTCGAGGTGGCGCTCGTTGCTCCTCCAGCCAACTAACACGGTGTTCTTGCTTTTCATCCCTAGCAGCCGCCATGGAGGTGATGAACCTGATTGAGCAACCCATCAAGGTGACTGAGTGGCAGCAGACCTACACCTACGACTCAGGCATCCACTCAGGTGTTAATACCTGTGTGCCCTCAGTCAGCAGCAAGGGCATCATGGATGAGGATGACGCCTGCGGCAGGCAGTACACACTCAAGAAGACCACCACCTATACACAGGGCGTGCCCCAGAACCAAGGTCTGGACTCCAGGGTGTTTTCACTGGGCAGGAACTCTGGCTAGATGCTGGTGGGAGGTAGATCAAGAGGGTCTCTGGTTTGAAAGAAGTTCCTACTCTTGGGGACCTAGGAAGCCTGAAGGGGAACACGTGGCTACCCAGAGACACACACAGATGTCACTTCCATGAACTCAGAATGTGTAGGGGAGTATCTGCCCAGTGGTGCCAGTGGTTGGCAAAGTGAGCCCACGGTTCCTGACTTCTGGGATCCTAGGGATGTAATAAGGAGACTTTACTGCTACCCTCGGTGGAGACCTGGGGATTATTGGGAAGATACGACTGATGAGCGTGACTGGGAGCAACCCCCCCCATCCCAGTCTGGTGGAAGGGTACAGTGTTCAAGCCTACACTGGACTAGCACAGACATGCAGATGTCCCTAGGGCAGGGCACAGAGTAGCTGAATCAGTTTTGGGTCCCTGACATGAAGACAGTACCCTACCAGTCTGGGTACTCCTTCCTCTCTGGGACAGCAGTGCACACAGCATTAGAACTGTCATCCACAGATGCCCCCAGGGCCCTAAACATTCCAGGTGGTGAGCTTTGAGTTGCAGGGTGAGCAATGGCTGGTTGGGGCTCAATGAATGTGTCCCAGGTCCTCTTTCCTGGCCCCAGGCAAGGAGCCTTTGTGCCTGGCAGGGCCAGGTCCTTGTTGGGAGCTAATGTGCAGTATCCAGGTGGGAGAGCCCTGTGGGCAGCCTCTCCTTCCCCATTGCCCTGCCTGACTTTTTACTGGGGCATTTGCCATGGCGGGGCTATCTGGCACTTTTTTAAATAGCCCTAGTCTACACCAGAGGTAGAACCCTGTATTTCCCTTGAGGACCCTTGCTCCTGCCTTCTCAAAGCCACAGCCCTGTCCTGTCTCTCAATTGGCTGTGTGATCTTGGGTCATGCTCTGGGGCTAATTTTGGCCCCCTATGTATGGAGAGAGTGGCTATTTTGTGGAGGGTGAGTATATAATTAGAATGATGAAGCCTAGCTTGTCTAATCCTATGACTGCCCTGATGGTTACAGGTGGAGGAGGGGGCGGGACTTTGGGTGCCTGAGTCCGCTGCTTTTTATGACCTTTGAGTCCAGTATCCTGCAAAATGGAGATAGTGTTGTATTCTACTTGCCTTGTGAGACTGTGGTAAGAGTACACGAGAAAATAGGAGAAAGGTACTTAACCCACTGTCATCAGGCATGTGAATCCTCCACCATTAGCTGTTTTTCTTTGTTTGTTTGTCATTATTTATTTGTGTGTGTGTGTGTGTGTGTGTGTGTGTGAGTATGTGAATGCATACACATGTGTGGGCGAGGGTACCCTTAGAGGCCAGAAGAAGGCATCCATTTTAGGATCCTTTAGAGCTGGGTTACATTGCTTGTGATCTGCCTAATGTGGGTGCTGGGATCTGAACTCTGATTCTTGTGATAAACCGTCTCTCCAGCCCCCTCACCCCGCAAGTACTCTTAACCACTAAGCCCCTAGTTTTGTTTTTGAGACAAAGTCTCATGTAGCTTAGGCTGCATTAAACACATTATGTAGCCAAGTATGACCTTGAACTTCCAATCTTCTTGCTGCCACTTCTGGAGTACTATAATTAATTACATGACTGTGCCACCATGCCTCATTGTTGAGAGTGGAACCTTGTTAGGCAAGCATTCTACCAACTGAGCTACATTTTCAGCTATAGCTGTTAATAATTATATTGTCGAGCCGGCCAAGGTAGCAAGGGTATATGATGTCCCAGTCACTTGATAGGCCGAGGCAGGATTACACATACAAAGGCTACCTGAGTATATAGTAAGTTCAAAGTCAGCTTGGGAAACAAAGCATTTTTAATTTTTGAAGGGTGTGAGTATGTGCTTGCATGTATGTATGTATATACGTCAAATGGGTGAAGTGCTTATGGTGGCCAGAAGAGGGCGCCTCATTCTCCTGGGACTTGAGTTAGTTATGGTTGAGAGCCACCATGCAGGTGCTGAGAATGGAACCCTGGTCCTCTATAAGAGCACTAAGTGCTCTTAACTGCAAAACCATTTCTCCAGCCCTGATGTTTTTTAAAGGCTGGGAACATAGGAATATAGCTCAGTGTTTGTGTACTTGCTTGAGCAAATGTGAGGCCCTACTTTTACTTTCCAGAACTGAACTACAGTAAACAAATATATTGCTATAGACATCTTTGTAATGATTAGTGTCAGACAAGAGTCATTGAGTTCCCTGTGCTGGGTGGGCTGGATGGGCCTCATGCTATAAATAAGGTGATAAAAAGCAATGGCAACAATGATTTCCCAGAACCCTGTTAGGTGAGGAATCCTGAGTGATGCCCTGTACTTTGGTGGAGCTTGAGACAGCTTGGAGCCATGTCTGTATGGCTTATCTTGCTCTCAGGGTCCCCCTAAATCTCCTATAGCTCAGTCCTTATGTCATTTGGCTTCCAGGTGACCTGGAGTACCAGATGTCCACGACAGCCAGAGCCAAGCGGGTGCGGGAGGCCATGTGTCCAGGTGTGTCAGGCGAGGACAGTTCTCTGCTGCTGGCCACCCAGGTGGAGGGGCAGACCACCAACCTGCAGCGCCTGGCAGAACCATCCCAGTTGCTCAAGTCGGCCATTGTACATCTCATCAACTACCAGGATGATGCCGAGTTGGCCACCCGGGCTCTGCCTGAGCTCACCAAGCTGCTCAACGATGAGGACCCGGTCTGTGAAGGGCCTGGAGGTGGGGTAGGATAAAGCTAGCTGTCCCCAGAGGGAAGGAAGCCATGAGTCTGGCTCCCCACATAGCATCTGGGTCATCTAAGCTCTGTGGAAGGATGTCATGTCCTCTGCCTTCCTTCCCTCTGTGGAGGAGTTGCCTGGGCCTTATGTATGCTCAAAGTCTCACATACTTCCTCCAGGTAGTGGTGACCAAGGCGGCTATGATTGTGAACCAGCTGTCCAAGAAGGAGGCATCCCGCCGGGCCCTAATGGGCTCGCCCCAGTTGGTGGCGGCTGTGGTGCGCACCATGCAGAACACCAGTGACCTGGATACAGCCCGATGCACCACGAGCATCCTGCACAACCTCTCCCACCACCGGGAGGGCTTGCTCGCTATCTTCAAGTCTGGAGGCATACCAGCCCTAGTCCGAATGCTCAGGTAATTTGCTCCTCTGCGGCACAGGCTCCAGGGGCCTCCCAGTATCCTTTCCCTGGGCTTCTAACCACACACTTTACACCACACCCATCTTGGCTCTCAGCTGCTCATAGCCCAACCCAGAGACAATAATGTAAACAGCAGGCAGACTGTTAAGATATCTAAGTTGTAGCAACAGAATGGTTGAGATTGCCCAGAGGCAGACTCTTACTGAGGGCAGGGCTTTGACAGATGGGTGGATTTGGTCAGCCTTGATCACGGGAAGGCTATCCTAGCCAGGGAACAGCGTGTCTAAGCACCACCCTACCATGTGCTTCCCCCCTCCCCTTTCCTGGCCCAGAATGGGAGTTCTTTGAGGGGAGAGAGACTGACTTCACTCCCCTCTAAACTGTCACAGGGCTTCTCCTATGTGACCTTATGCACAGTAGTGACTCAGCTGTTCCAGGGACCTAGTATATAATTAGCGTGTGCAGGACCTCAGAGGCAGCAGTGAAGGTGTACTGGGTGCTGATGTTGTCAGGAGTGCGCTTGGCTGGGCAGGGGGTGGTGCTCTTCTTTGATCCCAGTCCTCATGCGGTAGAGACTTGCAGATTGCTCTGCGTTCCAGGCCAGCCCCGTCGATACGGAGAGTTCCAGGCTAGCCAGGGCTATGTAGTGAACACTGGAAACCTATCTTGAGAAAAAGGAAAAAAAGAAAAGTGTGTGGAGGGGGGGGGGGGGCTGCAGGGAAGAGGCAGATGGCTCAGTCAAGTGTTTATTTCTCAAGCATGAGGACCCAAGTTCAATCTCCAGCACCCGTGTACAAGTGCTGGATGCGGTAGAGTGTGTTTGCAACCCCAGCCCCAGGGAAGCAGAGACTGGAGGAAACCCTGGAGCTTGCTGGCCAGCCAGTTTAGCCTAAGGTGCTCTGGGCCAGTTAGAGACCTGTACCTGAGGAGGGGGACTGTGTTCCTAAGGATGACACCTAAGGTTATCTTCTGACCGCCACACATGTTCATTTACATCAACCACATACACACACATTAAAGAGGGGCCGTGCTGAAGAAAGAATGACACTTTGGTAAAGGGATATTTGCATGAGGTGATGATTTGGGGTGAGCTTTCTGGCTGGGGTCTGACTCAACATGGATTCTGTCTGCTCCTCAGTTCCCCCGTAGAGTCTGTCCTGTTCTACGCCATTACCACACTGCACAACCTACTGCTCTACCAGGAGGGTGCCAAGATGGCGGTGCGCCTGGCAGATGGGCTGCAGAAGATGGTGCCCCTACTCAACAAGAACAACCCTAAGTTCCTGGCCATCACCACTGACTGCTTGCAGCTCCTAGCATACGGCAACCAGGAGAGCAAGGTGGGTCCCTTCACCATAGCTACAGTATCCAGTGGTTTCAGGCCACTTCCCAGAAGGTATATTAATGTGTAAATACATGAATGTGTCTCATATCCTATTTCTGAATTCTTCAAAACTAGCATTTTAAGGTTTGAGAAGAAATTAGGGCTAGGGATATAACGCAGTGATAGAATACTGCTTAGCATGCTGAATGATCCTTGATTCAATCCCTAGAATTGAAAAGGAGGCTGCGGGGTGGGGATGGAGAGATGGATTGCAGTACCCATGGAGGCCAGAAGAGGGTGCTGGACCCCTAGAGCTGGCATTACAGATGGTAGCAAGTCACCATGTTGATGCTGGGAATCAAACCTAGACTCTCTGGAAAAGCAGTCAGTGTTCCTAACTGCTGAGCCATTTCCCTAGCCTTCTCTGTGTGTTTTACACATGGTCTCTCTGTCTAACCCAGGCTGACCTGGGATCCTAGATCTCCTTGCTGCCTACTTCTGATTAGAGGTGTGGAACACCAGACCCAATAGGGCTAAAGACCTTTTTCTTTTTATTTATTTGTTTCTAAACACTCCTAGACTTTTACTCAGTGGGTTAACTCTCTTTCCAAAAGAGTTACAGTGTGTTACACATTACAGTGCCATCAGTGGTAATGGCTGTGCTGGGTTCCCTTTGCTACATACTTGCCAGCATTTGGTATTAAAGGTTTTGTTTTGTTTGTGCAAGATATTGGCTTATTTGGTAGTCACAAAAGTCTTTTAGACTTAAAAGGTTAATAATGACAGCTCCATTACTCCCAACAACACACATACACACACTCACGTGCTCGTGTGTGCACCCTCTGTCTCACACTCAGCCTTTCCCTCCCCACAGCTGATCATCCTGGCCAATGGGGGACCACAGGGGCTCGTGCAGATCATGAGGAACTACAGCTACGAGAAGCTCCTCTGGACCACCAGCCGTGTGCTCAAGGTGCTCTCCGTGTGTCCCAGCAACAAGCCTGCCATTGTGGAGGCCGGTGAGTGTGAGAACCTCAAGGTGGCCTGTGGGGGACTGGAGAGGTGATCATAGCTTAAGAGCTCTTGCTACTTTTCCAGAGGACCTCAGTTTGGTTCCCAGTATCCATATTCCATGACTCACAACTACCTGTAGCTCAAATTCAGGGGATCTGATGCCCCCTTCTGGCCTCCATGAGCACTGCACATCACACACACACACACACACACACACACACACACATACACACACGTAATGACAATAAACCTTTAAAAGTAAAATTATAGAGGAGTGACCTGTAGGGTCAGGAGGATCAGGGTAGGGCCTCTGCCCTGTCAGTCTGGCTTCCTTAAGGCTGACAGGACCTCTGTTCTGTCCCCAGGTGGGATGCAGGCTCTGGGCAAGCATCTGACAAGTAACAGCCCCCGCCTGGTGCAGAACTGCCTGTGGACTCTACGCAACCTATCGGACGTGGCCACCAAGCAGGTAAGTCAGGGCCTGGGCTGATCTCTGAAACCATGTTGTCAACCTCCCACCTGGGCATATGACCTCTGGGACCATTGAGTCCTCCTCCCTTGTAGCTAAGGCTGGAAAGGTCCAGAAGCCCATCACACCTTCAGTGGGAGGCTCCCATCCTACTTAAGGGTTTGGGAAGAGAAGAGGAAGGGGGCTGACATCTTTAAGTTGGGGTTCAGGTGACGGTGATGGAACAGTTTGGGTCTAGACCCTGGGACAGGAGCGGTGCTCTTTTGTAAAATTCAAGTACAGGGGCTAGAGAGAAGGCTCAGTGGTTAAGAGCATTTGTCTCTACCTGTAGTTCTAGGGCATCTGATGTTTTTTCTTCTAGCTTCTGAGGGCTCCAGACACACACTGTGCACAGATAAACAGTCAAAACACCCACACACAAAACACTAACCACAGAGCACTGCTGCTTCAGGACAGGTTGCTGGAACCTCCTTGCAAGCAGGCTTCTGTCCCTGTGTTTAGCCATCACCACCACCTAGCAAGCTCCCTTCATTCTGCATGGCTTCGGTGGACATGAGCTGAACAGACTTTAACCCTCTCAGCTCCCTAGAAGGGGATCCTGCAACCCTGTTGGTTGTGGGAGAAATTGAGGCTCAGGGAGTTAAGAGAAAGCCCGTGTTGAGAACTAGTAGATAGCAGAGCTGGTGTTCTGATCCATGCCTGTATCTCCCCGAGGCCTATAGTCTTTCAAATCCACCACTAGGCCCACTCAGCCCTCCCTGGGAGAAGAGAGATTTCTGAGTTAGGGATTTTTCTTGGAAGTAGATTTAGCTTGGGGAATCTCTGGTGTGACAGAGAAGACCCAGCAAGGCTAGAAGTATGTGACGGGGGACCAGCTGGCCACTGACGCCTGTGACCTCCTTGCTAGCTTCCTCTTGACCAGAGGCCCCCAATGGCCATCAGGGAAGAGACACATGGGACAGAGGAAGGACCATGGGCTTGGAGGCAGGCCTACAGCTGTGGGTCTGTGGGAAGAGCTGCAGCCTTCCTCAGCCTCCTGGCTTCTACTGCCCGGGGAGCTGCTAACCACTTTCCCCAGGGCATGGAAGTCCACAGGGTAAAGGTTCCTGGCCACATAAAAGCAATACCAAGCCCTTCAGCCTATCCGCTCCCCTTAGACCCTCTGAGGAGGCTGTGTAGAGATGATGTGCCCTTACCCTTCGTGCTCTTCCTGTCCCAGGAGGGCCTGGAGAGCGTGCTGAAGATCCTGGTCAACCAGCTGAGTGTGGACGACGTCAACGTCCTCACCTGTGCCACAGGCACCCTCTCCAACCTGACCTGCAACAACAGCAAAAATAAGACGCTGGTGACACAGAACAGTGGCGTGGAGGCACTCATCCATGCCATCCTGAGAGCCGGCGACAAGGATGACATCACAGAGCCTGCTGTCTGTGCCCTGCGCCACCTTACCAGCCGCCACCCGGAGGCTGAGATGGCCCAGAACTCTGTGCGCCTCAACTATGGCATCCCGGCCATCGTGAAACTGCTCAACCAGCCCAACCAGTGGCCACTGGTCAAGGTACCCACTCGGGGCCACAGCCACTACTGTGGGGGTTAGGTGGGGGAGGGCGTCCCCTGTGCAGTGTTGCAGGGATGTGGTAAGGAAGAGGGCACAGGAGGAGCAGCGCAAGCGACTAGGGCTTTGTGCATCCTGGCAAACACTCTACCACCTGAGCTAAAGCCCTGACCTTAGATGTAGATTCTTTCTGTCCAGTGCCTGCAGCCTCCCCCAACCCCCTCCGCCAAGCAGGGCTTCTCAAAGTTCCTTATACGGTTGGTTGTTGTCACTGCACTGGGACTGGGATTCAGAAGCAATGACAGAGGGACAAGATACCTGAAGCTGGGGAGTCGGGATCCCGAGCGTCGTATCCATTAAACGTGGGCTTCAACTAATTTGGTTTGATTTGGTGTGATTTGGTAGAGAGGCTTATCCGGGTGTAGCAACATTTCACAGATGTTCAAGGAATACCTTTGCTCACTGCCTCCCTCCTTGCCAGGCAACCATCGGTCTGATCCGGAATCTGGCCCTGTGCCCAGCCAACCATGCCCCACTGCAGGAGGCCGCGGTCATTCCCCGCCTCGTTCAGCTGTTGGTCAAGGCCCACCAGGATGCCCAGCGACATGTGGCCGCAGGCACCCAGCAGCCCTACACGGTAAATGAGCCTAGCTGCAGCTGACATAGCCTTCTTGGAGGGGTTGGGGAGTGTCCTCAGAGTTTCTGTATATGTAAGAAGAGGTGAGTTGACATCAATGCCAACTCCAGGGACTAGTGAACCGTGTCAGGGTCATAGTGGGGGAGGTAGTGGCTTTGTCCAGGGCCTCCTTGTCCACATCCTCATGCTTCATGGTTCTTCTCATGCAGGATGGCGTGAGGATGGAGGAGATCGTGGAGGGCTGCACTGGAGCCCTACACATCCTCGCCCGGGATCCCATGAACCGCATGGAGATCTTCCGGCTCAACACCATTCCCCTGTTTGTCCAGGTGAGTCTGGTACAGATGGACAACGATGTGTCCCCAAATACTGCCAGGGGTTTGAGGCTGTGTGGAATAGGCATGTTTAGGACTGTGCTTAAGAGCAGATGAAGTGTCTTTCCAAGCTCAGAAGCAAGGGAGATGAGATGCAGCCACGCAGGCATTAAGAGCATCTTTATGTTCAAAACAACCCGAAAGGCACAAACTTGGAACGTAGGAGCTAGTATCTCAGCAGACAGCAGCTCGTTAACGCTGGGTCCCAGCAGTGCTGTGTGGGCAGAGTCAACAAGTGACTCCCAGATGGCTCATAGGCAAACAGGTTCAGCTGAAGACTTTACAGAAATGAAATTTAGCCCCCAGTGAGAGTCCATTTTCCACTGTCAAATTGGCCAATGAAGAAGATACTCGAGGCTTGGGTGAACTGAGCATCTTGTGCCCTGCTTGGGGGGGATGGGCAGCCTGGGAAGAGTGTCTTGGAAATATTCCTATCCTTTGACCTGGAATTCAAATCTGACTCCCTCTTGAGGAAATCGTTTAACATAACTCAAATGGCAGAGGTTTATACAGGGAGATAAATAACAATTGCGGACACAGCTGTTACAAACAAACTCTTTGTCTAATGGTAAGGAAATGGTCTGAAAGGAAACAACTGGGCGTGGTGGCACATGCTTGTCATTCCAGAGCTCAGAAGTGGAGGTAGGAGGATCAGCCATGCAAGGCCAGCACTGGATAGAGAGTGAGCTAACGGGAGCCAGGTCTAGGGCAGCCTGTGCTAATAGCAAGACCTTATCTTTCAGGTGAAAAGCTAAACAGACAGAAGAATAGCTTATTACATCCTACAGCCAGCCATATGCAGTGGGTGGTGGGTGTGTTTGTTTAGGGATGTGTTTGTTTTGATGTGTGAACCCAGGGCCACTTGCAAACCGGAGATAAGCACTCTACCCCTGAGCTACATTCCCTGCCCAGGAAGAGGGTTTGTTTTGTTTTGTTTTTGTCTTTGAAATTTTCAGAGTGAAGGGTTTATCCTAATCCCACCTCAGTGGTAATTAGTGGTAACTGATTCTTTTAGTTGTTAGCATTTTTCTATCACTCATCCATATGAACATATGTAGGGCAGGTTTTAAAATAATACACAGGGAAATGTCTTATTCTACCATGACAGACAACAAACAAAACAAAAACCAAAAGAAGGAATCAAAATTCTTAGTGGGGTTGGGGAAACCACTCAGTCAATGAGATGTTTGCTGTGCAACCGTGAGGACCGGAGTTCAGATCCCCGGCACTCAGTGGTGGCAGCATGTGTTTGTAACTGAGTGAGACTAAACCAGACAGAGAGAGCCTCAGGTTCAGTGAGAGACCCTGTCTAAAAAAATAAGTTGGGAAAATCAGCTGAAAGGAGCATGTGACTTCAACCTCTGACGTTCATACACAATGGCCATGATACACACATACATTACACACTTGTGCTCCTATACTCACACAGATCCACACACAAAAATATCTATAGTGTGTAATAACAGACTGTGGTAAAAAAAAAAAAAAAACACGCTAGTCAGGGAATAGTGCTGGTCTGCTTTTCCACTTTTTCCATTTTCTAAGATGGCTAGACAGGGACAGGATGGGCAGCGCTGTTGGTACGCAGCGTGGCTTATCTCACGACTCCCTTCCACCTGTGTCCCCTCGCCTAGCTCCTGTATTCCTCCGTGGAGAACATCCAGCGTGTGGCTGCTGGAGTGCTGTGTGAACTGGCCCAGGACAAGGAAGCCGCCGACGCCATTGATGCCGAGGGCGCCTCTGCCCCTCTCATGGAACTGCTCCACTCCCGCAATGAGGGCACCGGTGAGGGGCTGTGACCGTGGGCAAGCGCCAAAGGGAAGGAGGCTGGGCTCTATTCCTCCCACCTCGGTTAAAGGCAGCTTCTGACTTGGACCTCACTTCCCTCTCTGCTCAGCGACCTATGCCGCTGCTGTCCTGTTCCGCATCTCCGAAGACAAGAACCCAGATTACCGCAAGCGAGTGTCTGTGGAGCTCACCAACTCGCTCTTCAAGCATGACCCAGCTGCCTGGGAAGCTGTGAGTATATGACCCGGCTTGAACATCTGATTGAACAGACTGCATGGCCGAAGCTCATTGCTCTCTGAGGAGGCGTAGCTGGTAGCTGACCACAGAGATTAAAGTTTAGTTTTCAGGTGTTTTCTTTTTTCTTTTTTGTAGAGCCTTATGTAGTCCAGGATAGCCTCCAACTCAATATTCATCTCAGGGCTGATTTTTTTTTTTTTTTTTTTGAGACAGGGTTTCTCTGTGTAGCCCTGGCTACCCTAGAACTAGCGAACTAGCTCTGTAGACCAGGCTGAAGCTCAGACTCACAAGAGATCTGCCTGCCTCTGCCTCCTGAGTGCTGGGATTAAAAGCGTGTGTCACCACTGCCCAGCTGATTTTGAACTCTTAATCCTCCTTACTCCACCTCTCAAGTACTGATTTCAGGGTGGCATGCCTGGCTAAATTTTTATTTTATTTTTCAGTGAGGTCCTTTATGACATAGAGATAATAGTTTGAACTATGTCTGGTTTTTGTTTTGAGATAGGGTTTCTTTGTGTAGCTTTGGGGCCTGTCCTGGCTACAAAAGTGCTGGGACTAAAGGCTGGTTTTTGTTTTTGTGGTTTTATTTATTTGCCTCCCCACCCCCCAGTACTAGGGTCCTTGTTCATTCCCTACAGGGACTCTACCACTGAGCCGTATCTATAGTCCTGTGTGGTATTTTGAAATAATCTCACTCTACACCAGGCTAGCCTGGAATCGGCACCAATCCTCCTGCCTCAGTCTCCCAAGTGCTGGGACCTCAGGCGTGAGCCACCCCACTATTTCTAGCTATATATCTCTTTTACCCCCATGAAGATAAAGGATTTGAGAATAGGTAGATATATATCTCTCTTGGGGGGGGGGGTTGTGTTGGTAATGGAACCCAGGGCCTTGGACATACTAGACAGGTACTCTGCCAGAGACTTACACCCACATCCAGGGTTGCCTTGTTCTAAGTTGCACACAGGTACTGTGCAAATTAGCCAGCTGCACCCTGTCTGCCCCTCTTCCACAGCTGTGGGAGCCCAAGGCATTAGTGGAGAGACCTCCAGCCAGGGCAGTGCCCAGGGACAGTGGTGCTTTCTCTTCCTCCTCTGAGGGTCTCCTGGCCCCTTGCATGGAGCATCTCTCTATTCTTTGGTGGAAAGGCAGCCCAGAGGATATTTTCCCACACTTCCTATGTCTTTCTGTCCTTCCTCAGGCCCAGAGTATGATCCCAATCAATGAACCCTACGCTGATGGTAAGTGTGTGGAGCCCCACCCCAGAGCCTGTGGCTGTGTGGTGGAGAATGGAAACACATCATGGCCAGTGTGTTCTAGTCTACATCCCTGCAGTGTGGGGGAGGGGGTGGCAGGAGTTAGGTCCCTAGCAGTGGGCCTACTCTACTACCGTGTGCGGTCTGCAGATCCCTGGACAAGCCTTTCTTTTTCATCCCCAGACATGGATGCCACCTACCGCCCCATGTACTCCAGCGATGTACCTCTGGACCCCCTGGATATGCATATGGACATGGATGGGGACTACCCCATGGACACCTATAGCGACGGCCTGAGGCCTCCCTACCCCACTGCAGACCACATGCTGGCCTAGCTGGCTCCACCCCAGTACGGCCCCTTCCTGTCTTGCAGCCTTGCCCTCTGCTTATAGCTGTTTGTAGTGACACCCGCTTTCCTCTCTGAATAGTCTGGGGGGGGGGGACCTTTCCATTCTGGCTCTTGTGGGGTGGAGGAGGAGTTTGGGAATCCTGTGCTTTTTGAGCTGTTGGGCTCTGGCCAGCCTTTACTCTGATGATAATGATGATGGCATTGACAAGGTTTTACTCTGTTTCAGGCTGGCCTAAAATTCACTATGTAGGCCAGGCTGGCCTCAAATCTGTGGCCTTTCCCCAGCCTTAGTGTCATTGCTGTGCCTTTTTTTGTCACCGCCCCCCCTCTTTTGTAACACTGGGCATTGAAGCTAGAGCTTTGTGCATGCTAGGCAAGTGCTCTACCACTGGAGTGCATCCCTAACCCTGGCTTTGCCTTCCATCATATTGAATTAGTCTCGTTAAACTGTCCAGGCTAGCCTTTAACTCAGTCCGGAGCCCATCCAGGCATGCCTTGTACTTAGGATCTTCCTGCTTCGGCCCCCAACGGAGCTGCATGGCTGCAGGCTCTCTCCTTTGTGCTTGTCCCTTGCTTGACACTCAGCTCCCTCTTCTCCAGCTGCTTCTAAGCAAATAAGGGAAAAGGCCAGTGTTTTGGCGTGGTAGGCAGGTGTCATAATTGCACCCTGAGCTTCTAGGGGATGCATGCCTGCCCAGCAAGCACCTGATGAACCCTGTGTCTACATGCCTCGCAGGAGCTGTTTCTCACCTGGGAAGCAGACTGTGGGATGAGACAGAAGAGTACCGGAGCCCCGGGAGCCAGCCTGGACTTCCTGCTGAAATCATGCTCCAGAGAGTTCCTCCGTAGGGTTTCTTGGGATGGTGTCTGCTCCTGCTTTTCTGCCCTGGGCTGTGGGTCCAGGCCCAGCACCTTCTCCCCTTCCTCCCACTGTGGCTATGGCCACCAAAGCTTTAGACTCAACCTGTGTCCCCTGCACAGCAACCCTCTCAGCTCTACTCCAGCTGCCTGCCCCTCCCCCTCCAGGGCTTCCTCTATTTTTATTTTTATTTTTTATTTTTTTCTTCCCTGGGGTAATTTTCTCACTGAACTTCAGCATCTGACTGCCCTGACCTGGGATGTCCAAGACACAGGTTCAAAGCCCTGACATCCACAGCTTCTTTTGAAAAGTTTAGTGACTTTCCAGGGGAAGAGAGTGGGGGCTCCAAGTGCCCCCTCCAGGACCTGCCCTTCTCTCCAGGATGCTCTCGGTGAAGCCCCCTTCACCCTGCCCCACACTAGCCCAGCTGACCTGCAGAAGCGCTCTAGCTCACCCTCTGGTGTGGTGAGGGGCTTTTTCCTCTCCTTCCTGTTTGACTCCCACACCACCTCCTGCACATGGTTTTGGGGGGGACTGCAAGGTGGGGAAGTCCCATCAGAGAGTTTTATTATGATTGCTTTATGTTTTTGGTTATTGGTTTTTCTTTTCTTTTTGTTTTTGTATAGACCAAAGCAAAGAAAATAAAATAACACACAGATCCAATGGCGGCTGTTAGAGTATTATGGTATAGGGGAAGTAAGGGGTACAGTAGGGGTCAGAGGCCTTGGCCGAGCCTTGTATGTCCTCAGGGCTGGGTGAGGCAAATGGAGAGAGGGGAGTGTTTGAAGAGCTTCAGTCCATTTAATGATTTAATTCCCTAGTCACATAGCATCTTAGGAGTCTAGGACAATGGGGTAGGGGATGGAAGAGCTTCTGCTTTATTGATACATGGCTAGTTTGCTTTACAGGCAAGCTCCTTGCTGGCCTTAGCCTCTGCTGCCCTGCTGTAATATGGTTGTGACAGATGTCTCCTATATCCCAGCTCTCTGCTACCCAAGGCTTGCTAATCTAGTAGTGGGTTCATCCCAGCTCCTGCCCGTCTCTCTCCATGACTCCTTGCTGTTTACTGTGCTCAGTAACAGGAGTGGTGGCCAGCACCCTCTCTGTGCTTTCAAGTCTCCTGGGCTCGAACTGTCTCTCCAGTGCAGGAAACAACAGACAGCACCTGAGGCGGCAGAGGGGAGAGATGATGTTAGCTAGGCCTAGTGGATGCAGTAGGATTCTGCATCTGTGGCCGATGCTCCCAGATGGGCAAGCTAGGACCTCACTCTCAATAGTTGATGCTCTCTGTTGGCTGAGCCCAGATAGAAACCAAAGAGGATGCTCATGTTCTGTCTAGCTGCCCAACACAGAGCAGAGTGATGTAGAAATGCCAAGGAAGATACCAAGAGATCTACCCACCCCAAAGAGGATGTGAGGTGGCTGTCAAGGAAGAATTAGGCTCCAGCCCCATAACAGGCAGCAAGGACAAGGAGGAGGCAGAAAAACCTTCACAGAAAGATCGAAGGTTAATTCTAATGCTGAACTCTGAGCTTCCCAGCAGCCTGGTCAAAAAGGGCTCATAGGTTAATGTAACAGCAATGGTCCATTTTCATGTAGGCTTTCTCACAACCCCGAGAAAGCCAATTGCTGGAACCTTTGATTTCTTATCTATAAAACAGAACTGTGTTGTAGCTCGGTGTAGAGCGTGAATTCAGCTTGTGCCAGGCTCTGGAGTTCCCATATGCAGAAGGAGCCATGCCTGGTCCATCTGCCAAGTGTTGGGATGAAAACTGAAGATGCAAGGATTGCCACGGGGACTGGAGAGGTGGCTCAGAGCACTGGCTGCTCTGCTACGGACCTGGATTCGGTTCCCAGCACTTGCAGGGCAGCCCACAGCTGTAACTCCAGTTCAAGAGAACCGGCCTCTGTGAGCACGAGGCAAGCACACAGTACACAGGCATATATGCAGACATACACTTAATAAAAGCAAACACCCTGGGGGCCAGGGGAGGGTGGTCTTGACTCCCACAGGGTCTACTTCTATGATTCAGAGATGTTTACTCCAGGAACACACCCGCTGTTTTTTCTGGGCTACATCATGTGACCAACCTTTATGCCAGGAAGTTGGGAAATGGGGAATATCAGCCCTACATGGCAGCCCCTAGAGAATGTCAAGGCTGTGGCAGGGACAAGGGACATGGAGAACATTGGGAAGACCACCATGGTCCACCACAGAAAGGGCCGCTTCCTTTGCTAGCGGCTTGGCCGGGGAAGTGGCAGTAGAAGTGGGTGTCCCTAAGCCAGAAGGTGATACTTAGACTTGGTTCATGTGGCAGATATGTTGGAACAGCCATGGCCCAGGAACAGGGACCCTTGTGCTTGAGTGTGGAGGAAAGGTTACTCACCCACTACAGTCAACATTTTTATACCAAGTCAGCCATAATAGCAGAGGCACACCTATCAAAATGGCAGGCGCCACTCCAATGCGGGAGGACAGTCAGCTAAGTGACAAGCCCGGTACTCTCAGAAATGGTGACGAGACGGGCAGAATCCAACTAGACAGATTTCTACAATGAAGTACTCTGTCCTTTCCCATGATTTTGTTTTTCAAGACAGGGTCTCACTATGTAGCTCTGCCTGTCCTGGAACTCACTCTGTAGACCAGGCTGGCTTTGAACTCACAGAGATCCGCCTGCCTCTGCCTCCTGAGTACTGGAGTTAAAGGTGTTCACCACCACCACCTGGCCTTTCTGTGTGTGATGGGGATGGGAGTCAGATGGTCAGGCTTGGTGGCAGATGCCTTTGCCTGCTGAGCCATCTCACCTGCTGAGCACACATGACCTGTTTTATTTTTTGAGATTAGTGTCTCCCTGAAGCTAGGGCTATCAATTTGGCTAGACTTGCTGCTTGGCCTGCAAGTCCCAGGGGTTCTCTGTCTCAGCTTCCTGGCACGGGAACAGTAGACTCTTACCACTATGCCCTGCTTTTTACAACTTGAGCATAGGCCACTATAGCAAGCACTTTTCCAAGTGAAATTATTAAAAGCAAATGCCACGGCGCTGGAGGGGTGTGGCTCAGTGGTGAGGGACACTTGCTACTCGCAAACTGGAGTTTGGCTTCCACATGACTCCATCTCCTTGAGATGCGATACACTCTTCTGGAGTTCCCAAGCGATCCCACACATGCTCACGTCACAGACATACACACATAATAAAAATATGCTACATCTTTTTTAAAAAGCTAGGGGATCTTGGGGCTGGAGAGATGGCTCAGTGGTTAAGAGCACTGGCTGTTCTTCCAGAGGACCGGGGTTCAATTCCCAGCACCCACATGGCAGCTTACAACTGTCTATAGCTCAAGTTCCAGGGGATCTGACACCTTCACACATGCACATTTAGGCAAAACACCAATGTGTATAAGATAAATTGTTTTTTAAAAGTTAAGGGAATCTTACAGTAAAAAAATCTAAATCACACCTACAAGACCTCATCCCATAAAGCGCCTGACTCAGGCTGGTGAAATAATTCAGTGGGTAGAAGCACTTGTCAAGCCAACAATCTGAGTTTGGTCCCTAGACCCACTCAGTAAATGGAAAGAACTAACCACTGCATGCTATCCTCTGACCTCCACACGTGTGCCATGGCATGTATACATATAAGTACTTGTGCACAGGCACATCACGTAAAGCTTTTTTTAAAAAGGTATATAGCCTCATTTAAAAGATAAAAATCTAAAGTAACTAGGAAATAATTAACTGGAACCTTAATCCTTTAGTTAGGATTTAGGAACCCTAGAAACATCCTTACATATAGAATATGAAGTTATGCTGTACATAAGACATGGAAAATCTGAGAAGCATAACTGAATCCCAAGTTCACAAAAACTAATATATCCAGCTGTGGTGTTAGACCTCTGTAATCACAGGGAGCTGAGGCAGGAGAGTCATGAATTGCAGATAGACAATGAGTAACATATATGTATAGGCTGGTTTACATGCCTATAATCCCAGCACTGGAACAAAAGTTGGAGGCAGGGGCCTAGGAGTTTGAGATTATTCTTGGCTATTCAACGAATTCAAGGCTAGCCCGGGCTATGTGCTGACTCTGGTCTCTCATACACAGATGAATGTACAAATCATACATAGTATTAATATGATTTACTATGAACCATTGGCCCATATATTAAGAGAAATTGATGATGGAGG